AAAGTGCAACAACAAATGCCTATTGACTTGTGTTAATAGTTTCTGCCATACTCAAAATGAACAATTTCCACGGTAGTACTACTTCTCACCATATTGTGCTTAATAAAAAAAAGGTTTGGAAGACTTTTTTGCTTCCCAATAGGAATTTGTTTATACAGCTTTTGTAGAGCTTTCGACGGTGCATCTTTTGAAAAAGAAATCAAGATTTTATCATTTTCTCAAGCTGAGATACATGCAAAACAAAAAGGTCTTCCAAACATTTTTTTATTACGCATAATATGGTGAGAAGTAGTACTATCATGCAGGTTTTTCATTTTGTGTATGGCAGAAACCATTAACACAAGTCAATAGGGATTTGTTATTATAATTTTTGTAAAGCTTTTCACGCGCATCTTTTAAAAAACAATTCAAGATTTTATCATCTACCTAAACCGAAATATAGATATTTTGGCAGACCCGGAATAGAGGAAAATTTTAAAAATAGTACATCATAGTGTTGTTACAGGTTCTCCTCGATAGTAGAACCTATAGATCTCAAACTTTGTAGCTATGTGGCACTACATATGTGCAATAATATGTCAAAGTTTCAAAGAGTTTGTGTTTGTTGAATGCGAGAACGATGAATTTTAAAATCGTTTCAGAACTTCCGGAACACCCTTTATGTTTCCATAATCTTTAGTTTCTGTTGAGAGAACTTTTCTTTTCGTTATCCCGGTCTTCGACACATCACTTTTCGTGATTGCGCACATCTCTAATACTGACATACATGTAGACCAAAATGTGTCCATGGACACCTATTAGTTTTTTTGTTTAATATTTTTCTTTTTGTGTTCAGATATTTTCTGGACTATCTGTAAATTTATAAAGAATAGTACAGAGTTTTCGTGACTTACATTAAAACCTATTCAACTCTTACATTGATCAGATAATTTAGTTTTAAAATTTTTTATTTTTAGCTATCCCATTACCACCTCCACTTCCTCCATCAACAATGAATCGAAAAGTAAATCTATTATTTTGTTATATATTGATGAAAAGTATAAAGGAAATATTTCTAGATAGAAAAATTTCCTACAGCATCAGCATTTTCAGCATCAATTCATCAGAAAGATACTACATTAACATCAGGTATTTCTTCATCATCTGTTGGTTTTACTGGAATCTCTAATCCGGCTAATTCATGTTTTATGAATGCTGCTATTCAATGTTTATCTAATACACGTGAATTACGAGATTATTTTCTTGGTGAGAAAATACGTTTGTTGCTTTTTTTTTAAATATTTTTTCTTTTATATATTAAATAGGATCTTGTTATTTATCTGAAATAAATCTAACAAATCCACTTGGTATGAAAGGTGCGATTGCTGAAGAATTTGGTACTTTAATTAAAAATTTATGGAATGGAAAACTTAATTGGACTAATGGAAATCAATTACGAGTTTGTTTTATTTAAATTCTTTTTTCTGTTTTATAAAGACGAAAAATTAGAAAATTTTTAGTATTTTGCTGCTAAAAGACATCAAGAATTTGTTGGTAATGGTCAACATGATGCACAAGAATTATTAACTATTTTATTGGATGCTATTCATGAAGTAAAACAAATTTAAATAAAGTTTTTTTTTTTTTTTTTTTCTTCTCTTTCATTATAATCTATTTAGGATCTTAATCGAATAAAAACTAAACCTCAAGTACCACCAATAGAAGATCAAGGTCGATCAGATCATGTAGATATTTTGGAATTATTTTTTGTTTAATAGAAAATTTTCATATTATTATTTTAATAGATTGTTGCTGATGAATATTGGCGTGGTTATTTAAGTCGAAATGATTCTGTTATTGTTCAATTATTTACTGGTCAATTTAAATCAAAAACAAAATGTCCACAATGTCATAAAGTTAGTTGAATATATAATAAATATTTTTATCGATAATATTTAATATAGGAATCAATAACTTTTGATCCATTTACAACACTTTCTGTACCATTACCAAAGCGAACAGCTGTTGATACAATTGTTACATTTAGAAATGATGAAAAACCACCAATTAAAGTTTGTAATTTTGTTTTAGATGAATTTAAATGAAGAATTTCTTTTTTTAATTATTTAGTATCGTATTATTATGTCAGCTGATGGATTAATTAGCGAATTTAAACGTGTGTTATCTAATAAATGTGGTTTACCAGCGAATAAAGTTTGTTTAATTTTTTTAATAATTACTTTTTATAAATACTATAAATTTTATATTAGATGATAGCATATAAGATTCGAGGTAATCGTCCAGTAGATCATCTTAAAAATGATGATCGACTTACATCTACTGGTTATTCATGGAATAATAATGATATTATTTATGTGTAAGTTTGAATTATTGAAATAGATAATAATAATTGATTAAGTCTTATATAAAGAACTATCAATTCAATGTATATCATTGTATACTGAATAGTTTATGATTAGTACATAAAAAACCATAACTTTATATCATCTGATTTATTGAGTAGATTATAGAGTTTGTGTTTGTTTGGAAACTAGTTAAAATTCTAACTGTACTAAAGAAAATCAATGTTCATTAGAATTCGAAACCGATCATGTCTGATTTTGGGACTGGTGCCCACGTGCGCTACTCGAAAAGTAAGGGCTAACTCTAACTTGGCCCGTATGAAATCACTATCAACATTGTCTGAGAAGTGTTAGCCGCTGAGTATAAATAATCGCTAAGAATGTCTTATACCTTCGAAGTAACTATCAAATGCAGAGTAGAGAGTTTCATTAAGAGTAAGACTTGGGTTCGAGTTTTGGTCTGAAAAAAGTTCAGTCAATCTGATTCCATTATGGTTTTAAAAGTACTCAACTGAATCTCTTTCTTATACAATGAAAGAGAAAAAAAGTTTTTATCAGTATTGACTGTTTCATTATATCGCAATAAATGATATCTATTAAATTTATATGAGTAGAAAAATCTTTCTTCTATCGATCCATGTTTTCATTGCTTACTTATAATCGATGTAGTTAAACAGAAAAAGAACCAATTCTATATGTTTCTTAAATGATTTAAAAATAAAAACTTATTAAAAATCTTTGTGTTTTTCTTATTTTATAGAACAGAATTATTAACAAGTGCTGAATGTAATAATGAACCAATCATTCAATTAACATTTATTCAACGTATATTTAAATTACATGAATATGTTGCACCATGTGGTTATTGTCAAGCATCACCTAATCCTCATACTTCATCAATACTTTGTCATAATTGTTATCAAGTGTCTTATTGTGATGAGTGAGTTATACATATTATTGATTTTATTTAATATTATGTTTTTCAATTAATAGAATATGTCAAAAACTTCATGCACAAGAACATAAAAATTATTGTGGATTTCGATTAACAGACAATTATGAAGTAATTGGTATTCCATTTGTTATTTCATTACCAGAATCAAAATTAACATGTAAAAATGTATTTGAACAGATTAGTATTTATGCTAAGTAAGAAGTTTTGTTTTTCATAGAAAAACAAAATCGTTAAGATTTTTCTATTTTAGACGAAGTGTAGATATTCATATAGAACGTTCAAAACGTACTCGACGATCATTACCATCAAATGAAGATTATGATCGTGTAAATAGTGATTTAGAAGAAGATGAAAGAGATGATAATGATGATGAAGATACGTAAGTTTAAAATCAATATCATTTCAGAATGTATCTATGACATTTCACGATAAGAATAGATGGTTTTTTTTTTGACCTTGTGATAAAACTCAGCGGTTATTAGCTCACAAACTCTATAAGTCGTAGTCTGATCTATGATGTTCGTGAATGGATAAAGTCTTCTCCTTCATCCATGGTTCAAAACAAAAAATTGAATATACTAGACTCATAATCAATTGACTTATTGTAGTTGATTTCTATTGATTTCATATTTCGCCAGAAATAAAACTAGTGTTATCCAAAATTAATAGAAATAAATGCGAAAACCTCGGATTTAAATCCGAGTGTTATGTGTATTTCAAAAAGTGAAAAGGTATATTCACTGTGTTTTTTATCACTAAATTGCAAGGAGAAAATACAGGCGTGCTAAGTTAGCATGGACCATACTGTATGCGACCCTATCCGGTGACCACTGACTCTACTCTCAGAGTGATATAATATCTTTAGAAATCACAGGAATTGAGTTCAGATTCGTGTTTAACTTGGAAAACTGGGTAAGAAGAGTTATTTTTGAATGAATTTGCGTTTGTATCTACCAGGATTACGATCGTAAACAACCTCATCAATCTATAAGAGATATATAATAGATACACGCATCAGTATTTTCCTAATAGATCACAAATATTAATAGCTATCGAGTTAGGGTTTTTACCTTTCGATAGTCCTTTTGACTAGCTAGAAAATCAGGCATTTGGGAAACCTCAAAACTACTGGTCATCTGAGACACATCTAGGCAATTTGGTTTCTGGATGCAGTTTTTGTGCATTTTGAGACCTTTTTCAGGCGATGTTCTGTTAGAAGGCTACAATTTGGTTCAAAACTAATATCAGATTCGGAATCAGCGTTAAAAACTGAGTCGATTTATATATGTTGTGAAGAATTTTGAGAAAAATATTTTTTTTGAAAAAATCCCTGTACTCCCCCTCAGGGATGATCTTCTCAATAATGACAATTTTTTCGATAACTCAGCCATTTCTTGACGGATCCTGCTCATCTTCGAACTCGACCGAGACATTGTTAAGACTGAACTGTGTAGAAAATTTCATCGCGATTGGACTCTCCTTTCAAAAGTTATCGTGTTAACGGCCGGACGGACACACTGACCGATTCTAGAGTGTACTCACTTTTTGAGTACACAAAAACCGAAGTTACTAACAGACAACTATTTAGACCGAGAGAGAGAGAGAGAATTTTTCACTATTTCCAAATATATCTTCAGATTTTCTTTCTGGGATAAGACTGAGCAAAAATGCCCAAGACTATGTTCGTACAAAGCAAAATAGCAGTTATGACGCAGTGTATAGCTTGCGTCTTGGAACAGTTTCAATTCAACATTATTATGAGATGTTACAATAATGAAAATCTCATCTATATGCTTCCACTACAGAGCTATTAGTTTTTTCAAGATATAATGTGCTGCACCCTTTTTTTTAAATACCGTTTGATAGAAATATTATAGAGATCTATGATTATCAAAGTATTATAAAATTTTTTTGGTCAACATTGATCAATTAAGTGAGTTGTTGATAAAGATTTTCGAAAATCATGTTTTCCTATCGATTTAGACTTTTAATAGAATTAGCCAATAGAAAAAAATTCTTCTCTGTCTATCTACATGAAGCCAATATTCCTAGCTTGTTTCATTCCAGAGTAATAAGACTTTTCCTGACACTTCCGCGTTCAGCTAATTGACCTGTGATCGCCCGGAGAAGCAGTTAGAAAGCTGTAAGTTCATCACTATTCAACGCGTTATGGTGAATAACCATTGCTAAGTTACTGTTCCCCGGGGATTACAGATCAGTTGGCTGAAATCGGAGGTCTTAGGAAAAGTCTTATGACTATTAGAAAGAGAAGATTTTTTTTCTATCGGCTAGTTCTATTAAAAATTTAGATCGAAGAGAAAATATTGTTTTCAGAAATCTTCACTAAGATCACACCTAAATGGTCGCTATCCTTGGATGACTCTGGATCTTCTGTCTTGATTGGTGAAAATCGCAGGTCTCTATGATATTTCAATGACAAGTTATTCGAAAAACAGTGGAACGCATTATATTTTTGAAATGAATAGCAGAAAAGCAATATTTAACTTATTGTGTTTTGTTTTTAGTTTTAGTGATATTGAAAATGTTGATTGGCCAACAATAAAACATACTCTTTCATCATCGGATTCTTGGTCTATATGTCGTCTGGGTGATTATTTTGTTAAAACTGGTAAAAATAAACGTCGTCGTTATGATGAACAAAAAAATCGTAAAGAAAAAATGATAAAAAATAACAATAATAATAATGAAAAAACAATGATATCAAATAGTGACAGTAATAGTAGTACTGAAGAATTTGATATGCTTGATGACATATATAGAAATCAACCATTATTTCGTTTAATGCCACAACCATCAAACAGTCCAAATAATAATACAATTCAACCAATTGTTGAACCAGGTTGATATGATATTTCAATAAAAATACTTAAAAATTTTTTTTTGTTTTTTTTGTAATCAGGTGATGATGCTGATAAGATTTTACGTCGTTATACTACATTTTCAATTGATTGGTTTACAGATAATAAAGCTGAAGCACCATTACGTGTTATACCATCAAAACATCGTCATGGTATCAATGGTCTTCTTGAAGATGATAGTGTTTTTAATATATCTCCGGGTGGTATGAAAATTTTAGAATGAATTTATATTCATATAAAATATCTTGTTTGACTTTAGATCAAGATCTAACACTTCAACAATGTCTTCAAATGTTTATTGAACCTGAAGTATTAGGTCCTGATGATAAATGGTATTGTCCATATTGTAAAGAACATATGCAAGCTGAAAAAATTATGTCAGTTTGGCGTTTACCACCAATACTTATTATACATCTTAAACGATTTAAATATAATCATGGTTCATCATATGGATATTTTTCTGATTCAAGAGTTAAAATTGATACAAATGTTAAATATCCAGTTCAGTATGTATTTTAAAAGGAAAAAAAAAACAAGAAAATTATTTGAAAAAATAAATTTTTTCTTTTAGTGATCTTAATATGACTCCATATTGTTCATCAACAACAGATTCATCTCAAGCTCGTTATGATTTATTCGGCATTATAAATCATCGTGGTAGTGCATGGTTTGGACATTATACATCCTATGCAAGACTTTTATCTTATAATGATTCAGTTAAAACTGAAATTGGTAAAAAAATTTTTCTTGATGATGTAATTGTCTTTTTCTTTTTTTTTTTTATTCTGTAGGTTGGAGAAATTTTGATGATGAACGCGTATCATCATTATCATGTGATAAAGACCTTGTTCGATCTGATGCTTATGTTCTTTTTTATCGTCATCGTAATTCACCAATTAATCTTGTTATGAATGAACAAAATACATCACCTACATCAATGGATACATATAAAGATACCATAACAATAGATACATACAAAGATACAACAACAATAGAATCATCTTCTATGAAAGATATACAAGATCTTTTACGTTAAAGAATTTCTAGTACTGATTGAGATCCTTTAACTATATTATAATAAAATGGTTAATATGACATTGTGATTCTCTTTTTTTCTGCTTAGACAACGCCTTGTGTGTTTATCTTCTTTTTTTACGAAAACACCCTATGTGTGTCCTTCTGTTTCTTTTTTTATTATTTTCTCGCCAAAAAAAAAAACAAAAAAAGACGTTTGTAAACTTGAAATGCAATTACTTTACTGTATATTATGTTTAGATATGCTGAGTAAAAGGTGAGTGAAATATGAATGCGGATGGCGTACTAGATTTTAGAATAAAAAAAAACAAAGTGTCTATTAGATTTTGATTTAGAAATTTAGAGAAATTTTCAACATAAAGAATTACGTTGTTCAGTAACGGTCATTCACGATGTTTTGTAGTAGGAGTATTCAAACTTGATGTGAAGAAAATGTGACGAAAAATTTCTAATACTAATGATTGATTGTTTGTTGTCTGTTACTGTCATGTCGAAAAGCAGTAATTGAATACCTGACGCATGAGCGGGCTGCGCGAACATAAGTGAAAAATGTACTCTGGTGCAAATGTTATTCCTAGAAATCTAGAATTTGAGACTTCTTTCAAAGTCATCCATAAAACCACAGTCACGATCTTATTCAATAACATCCATATGCCATGGATTATAATCAAAAAATATCTTGATGCATTGTCTGCTGATAAAAATAAAATATATGTAAGCAAACCTCTTATATTCGTGCCGTGTCCTATGAGATGCTATCATAAGCTGTAATTTATTCTAGGTACTTCATACACGTACTCTCATTACCCTGTGTATGGGATCTTAGAGTCTGGAATTATAGAATTTGCACTCTGTACTCTTATGTAACCAGATAGATTTCTTTTCATGACCCTATTGTATCAGGCATGGGTGTGGATGAATAGAAAATCACTTCGACATCCAATATATATGATCTAGTGTATATACTATGACTACCTGATTTATGGATGGATTTATGCAGCTCATTTTATTTTTTCGAATGAGACTATTCATAATCAGACCAAGAAATATACGTACATAATAAGTAAACGTGGAATTTTAATTAATACTAAATTCTAAATATTAAGTAGTTAAGCAACAACATATGATAAATGAGAACAACAATTGTTTCATAATTTATTTTATATTTTTAATCATATTACAATAGCAACATGAATCATAATAGAAAAATGTATCTCATTGAAATATAGCAACTATCTCACATGGTGTTAATATTTTTCTATTTAGAGATTAGATTACTATCAATTTTAGTGATGTTAAAAAACTCACAACAACTATTGGTGCAACTGATAAAAAGTGGTAGTATTTTCAAAACGATACATATCTGGTCATGTGACAAGTCCTGTCCTAAGTTTGTTTTCGTTTATAACTGTATTGTTGTGTAGTGGAAAAGGCACCATCTTATTTCATAGCCCGTCAAGTGGCTTCGTAGCCTGACCAGAGAGACTCAATGTGCCTGTTACGGCGAAAGCACTGCAGTATTCTGAAGAATCGGGTATGTTTGTATGATACTGTCGTCAATATGTACATCATACGTACATTCATAGCCCAACCAATCCAGTGTGGTCTGCTCTACGTGTAGCCTTCAAGTTCATGCAGGGTCTTTCTAGTTGTGGGAGTGCAATGGCGTAGAGAGTGAAGAATGTTAGAGATCTGAGTATCTGTTTGAACGAGTTTATTGAATAAGCAAGGAAGAAACAAATTTACAGCTTCTCTTTCACACTTTGAAGGCGCTGTCTATACAAGTCAATGTCCAAGTTCTTCAAAGATAATGACATCTGTGCAATTTCAGTCGCACGTTCGTAAAATTGACTTGCCTTCAAGTATTCGCCCATATTTTCATATACAAGGCCGACGTCATGTTTTGAAATAGCCAAATCGGGATGATTCGGAGGCAGAACTTTTTCTCTTATTGCAAGGGCTTTTTCGTGAAATTCAAAAGCCTTTGAGTAGTCACCCATATTGTTATACACTTGACCGATGTTTCCATAGGAAGCAGCCAAATCTGAATGATTTGGACCTAGAACTTTTTCTCTGATCCTTAGTGCTTTTTCGTAATATACAAGTGCTGTCGGGTAGTCACCCATGGTTTTGTACACATAACCAATGTTGTTGTAGCAAGTAGCTAAATTGGGATGACTCAAAGGCAAAGTTGTTTCATAGATTGTATGTGCTTTCTCATGAAATTCGAGTGATTTCAAGTAGTCACCCATGTTGTGATACGCTGTACCGATGTCGCTGTAGGAAGTAGCCAAATATGACTGATTCGAAGCGAGAGTTTTTTCGTAGACTTTACGTGCTTTATTGTGAAATTCAACTGCTTTCAAATAGTCACCTATGTTGTTATACACCTGACCGATGTTGCCGTAGCAAATACCTAAATCGGGATGATTTCGAGACAGAGCTTTTCCTCTTATTTTGAGTACTTTTTCGTAAAACTCAAGTGCTTTCGGATAGTCACCTATGTTGTTATACACTTGACCGATGTTGCTGTAGGAAGTAGCCAAGTGGGGATGATTCGGAGGCAGAGCTTTTTCGAAAATAATATGTGCTTTGTTGTGAAATTCAAGCGCTTTCGAGTAGTCGCTCATGTCGTTATACACTTGACCGACGGTGCCGTAGCAAATAGCCAAATCGGAATAATTTGGAGGCAGAGCTGTTTCTTTTATTTTGAGCGCTTCTTCGCAGAATTGAAGTGCTTTCGAGTAATCGCCCATGTTTTTATACGTTGTACCAATGTTATTGTAGCAAGTAGCTAAATGGGGATGAGTCGAAGGCAGAGTTTTGTCGTAGATTTGATGCGCTTTTTCATAAAACTCAAGTGCTTTTGAATAGTCACCCATGTTGCTATACGCCAGAGCAATGTCGCTGTAGGAAGTAGCCAAGTAGGGATGATTCGGAGGCAGAGCTGTTTGGTATATTTTATGTGCTTTATCCTGCAATTCGAGTGCTTTCGGATAGTCACCCATGTTGTTATACACTTGACCGATGTTGTTGTAGGAAGTAGCCAAGTCGGGATGGTTGGGAGGCAGAGCTTTTTCGTAGATTTTCTGTGCTTTTTCGTAAAATTCAAGTGCTTTCGAGTAGTCACCCATGTTGTTATACACTTGACCGATGTTGTTGTAGGAAGTNGCAAAATATTAAGGTCACCCTAAAAAACTGCCTTTTTTCCAGGTTTCGGAGGGTGTATCACTTGTATACTATGCCATTTTTCATAGGGAAGTCAGAAAGAGTTATTATTTTGGATTTGTCTATGGTTTGACTAGACCTTTCATTTGAGATACCTAAATCGAAGATCAAAATTTGGTCGGCAGCCGACTTGTTTGGTGGTCTCGCGGACTCTCTCTTAATTTCTGATTATCTTGCTGAAAATAATTTTCTTTACTAGATTCACTATTGAAATTCTTTCCAAAATCTTGAAGACAATGGAAAAAAAAATTGAAAACAAAGCTTGTTGAACAATTTTGATACACACTGTATATATATACTGAGACAGGGAATAGAACTTAAACATATTTTATTGAATGTATCACATTATAAAAAAACTTATCTGCATATCTTAATAACAATCGATATATAAAAGAAATTAAGAAATGAAAACTTTTTTAAAATTCATTTCTAGATTCATGGCTGCAGTAAATACTTCCATTCTTGTTCTTCTCGATCCTACCGATCAACATAGACAATTCGATGGTAATTATGATGCGCAATTATTTTCTCGATTTACAAACAAAAATCGTTGCATATTACATGTATTATCTCGTCTTGCACATGTTCATTTACTTCATTTCTTTATACCAAATGCTGAAAATACATTAATTCGTGCACGAGTTACTTTATTTAAAAATACAATATTTTATATTTATTGTATAGATGAAGCCAGTGTTAAAACAATGGAAAGAACATATAATTATCCAATGTTTGTAAAAATATTTCATGTTCAATGGTTATCAACATATGTTTGTCAAGCAGCTATTGCTCATTTAGTTGAACGAGCTGAACGTGCACAACATGAACCTGAAGAATATGATATATCATTACAAGCAGCAGCTGAACTTGCAAATACATTAGCTAATGAACTTAATGAATATATGATTGTGAAAACTGGTGCACAACCAGACGACCGTGTATGATTAAAAATAAAACAAAACAATAAAGTGTTTTTTAAACAAAGAAAAATCACTGATGAAAGTTGTTCTCTGTTAATGTCAATCTTCTTGATACTTACAATCTGACTGTATAGAGATGAGCATGATTAAAAAAATTTAGATTTGAATATCTTATCCTTTCGGATACACGATCTTGAGTAAGTTATCAGTTTTCATAGAAGGAATGTGTAGGTATGGGTTCGAGTCTTTTCTTCATCTATACTCACACTTCTTCACTGAATTTTAGTTTAATAGTAATCAAACTTTAAAAGATCATGTTTACATGATGGGAATTATCCTTGTTGATTGTTAGCCTTTCAGCAGCGTCACATATCAAGAAAATCAAGGATACAGGATAGAATAGATTTCATATACCTGTAATAATTTAATATTCGGTTAATGAGTTCTTTTGGATATCTGAAGACTTTGATAATTGACCAAAAAGAAAATTGTAGATCTCCAGTGTAGTTCTATTGGATGAAAACATGCTACTTTGTTGTAGTATTTGAGAACATTATGTTCGCAGATTTTTTTTACTATTAGTCAGTACTGCAGTAGTACGAACAAATCTACGACACAGTAATAATTCCTTTTGGCCAATAATTTTTGGACTTAAAAATGATCCGTAAATGGTCAATGGATATTTTAGATTTTTGTTTTTCAAAATAGTTCACTTTTGATCATACACATTCGAATTTAGATCGTAAATTGTAACTACAATTAATTTTTCTTTTGGATAAAAACGAGAACAGACGAACGTGTATTTTTATTTTTGCTTGTGTTAGTTATAAAGAAAATGAAAAACAAAAAGCAT